CACAATGGGGACAGGGAGAGGACACAGTGGGGACACCATGGGGATGGGGACACCATGGGGACAAGGACACAATGGGGACAGGGATGGGATGGGGACAGCGATACGGACACTCTGGGGATGGGGACACGGGGACAGGGATGGGAAAAGTGACACAAATGGGGACAGGGATGGGGATGGAGGGGACAGGGACACCATGGGGACAGGAAGGGGATGGGGACACAGGGCTGGGGACAGCGGTTTGGGGACCCCAGAGGGACCCTGCGTGTGACCTGGAGGGGACAGGGCCAGGAGGGGACACCGTGATGTCACAGTGTTCTGTGTCACTCCAGTGTCACCGGGATGTGTCACCGCCAGGGAGGTGGCACATCCCCGCCCCGGGGGACAGCAGCAGCAGCAGGAGGTGGTGGCAGGAATGTGTCACCCCGGGGTGGCAGAGGGTGACACAAACCAGAGGCGCCTTCGGAGCGCGGGTATTGGGGGTGACAGAGGTGGCGGTGACAGGGCTGTCCCCAGGGTGGCACAGGGGATTGCTCATGTCACCCACAGTGGCACACCTGCTGTGTCCCCACTGTCCCCATGTCCCTCAACGCCCCCAATGTCCCCAATATCCCTCAATATCCCCACTGTCCCCAAATGTCCCTCAACGCCCCCAATGTCCCCAATATCCCCCAATATCCCCACTGTCCCCAAATGTCCCTCAACGCTCCCAATGTCCCCACTGTCCCCAATATCCCCAAATGTCCCCATTGTCCCCCAATGTCCCCAATATCCCCAGTTATCCCCAATATCCCCCAATATCCCCACTGTCCCCAATGTCCCCACTGTCCCCAGTGACCCCAATGTCCCCATTGTCCCCAATGTCCCCAGTGTCCCCCCGTGACCCCGCACGGCCAAAGGTCACGCTCGGCTCCGCCCACCGGGGGCGTGGCCACACAAGAGGCGTGACCAATGAAAAAGGGGCGCCGCTTCCGGTCACGTGCGAGGCAGCCAATCACAGCCCGGCCGGTCTAGGGGGTGACGTCAGCGCTTCCCCGGTCACCATGGCAACTGCACCGCCCCCTCCGCTTCCGGGAGCGCCGCGCGGCGTTGATGGACGGGCGGCTCCTCCAATCAGCGGCCCTCTAAGAAAGCGCGGGAAAGTTCAGCCCGCCCTCCGCGCGGGAGCGCGCAGCGATTGGCGGGATYGGGGCAGGGTTGGGCCAATCAGCCTGGCGGGGCGGGGTCACGGCGAGTGATTGGCAGGCGAGCAGCCAATCAGCTGCGAGCGCTCTTCCGGCTCCACGTCGGCAGCGGCGAAGGCAAAATGGAGGCGCTGGTGCTGGTAGGGCTGAGGGACCATGGCGGCTGAGGGGAGTGAGGGGNAATGTCTCTTGGGTTTTTTTTTTTAAATTATTATTTTTTATTATCGAGAATTCTGCAGGCGGGGGCTGCTCTTTCTCTTTCTCTCTCTCTGCTCCTGATTGGTCACCTCAGCTGTCAGTCACAGCCTGGCCCCGCCCCTTTGTGCCCCGCCTCCATTGTCACCCCGGGTGTCCCCAGAGTGTCCCCTGGGTGTCCCCGGGTGTCCCCTCCCCCCCCCGGCACTAATCCCCTCCCCCCTTCCCTTTTGTAGGATCGCCGGCCCCGGGAGAGGAGCCCGCGAGGTCAGCGGGGGACATTGGGGACATTTGGGGACATTTGGGGACAGCCCAGGGCCGGGTGACCCCCCCCAGCCCCGCCCCCCGCGCCCGCGGGACCCCCCGGTGCCCTCAATAAAAGGGTATTTTTGTATCTGTGTCCCGTCTGTGGGGACGGGGGGGACAATGGGGACAGGAATGGGGACACCATGGGGACAGGGACACCATGGGGACAGGGAGAGGGACACCAGGGGGACACTGTGGGGACACAATTGGGACACTGTGGGGATACCATGGGGACAAGGAGAGGGACAGGAACACAATGGGGACAGGGACAGGATGGGGACACCATGGGGACAGGGAGAGGGACAAGGACACAATGGGGACAGGAACACAATGGGGACACTGTGGGGACAGGGACACTGGGTACAAGGACACCATGGGGACACAATGGGGATGGGGACAGGGGCACGATGGGGACACTGTGGGAACACTGTGGGGACAAGGATGGGGACACCATGAGGACAGAGACACAAACGGGGACAGGGACACCGTGGGGACACAGATGAGGACAGGGACATGAAGGGGTTGGGGACACTGAAAACAGGGATGGGGACAGGGACGGGATCGGGACAGTGACACAATGGGGACAGGGATGGGGATGGAGGGGACAAGGACAGGATCGGGACAGGAAGGGGATGGGGACAGCATGGGGACAGGGGACAGGGCTGGGGACAGCGGTTTGGGGACCCCAGAGGGACCCCGCGTGTGACCTGGAGGGGACAGCGAACGCGGGGCCCGGGGGTGACACCGTGATGTGACACCAGGATGTGACAGTGTTCTGTGTCACTCCAGTGTCACCGGGATG